CAAAAGGGGTTGAAGCTTTGATTCCATCTGACCTTTCTGGATTATCGGAGTATGAAGAGAAGGCCTTGGATGCTCTCAAGCCTGAATTAAAGCCAGCATCGAAAAGGGAATTGCATTCGTGCAGAAGCAACCGGAAGTTTTCGGAGCTCTCATAATTGAAACCATGCTTGAGAGAGAAATAATTAAGTCTGGATTTAACCCTGCATCAGTACTATCAGTTTTGCAGAGTGGAAGTGTTTTTTTTTAGTGACAATCACAGAGAAGTAGACATAAAAAGCGCATTTTGGTGTTGCTGAGAAGAGAACTGAATCATTTCTCATAGTTTGTTGTACTTTTGACGGTTTTGACATAACATGTCTGCTGCACTATACTACTGGTTTATGTGTTGTAGGGTTTTACTTTAATGAGAGGCTACCATGAAAGAGTATTTATCAACATTGCAGACAGATCTAGGACAAGCCAATATGCCTTTTGGTTTTGTATTAAAGATTCGTATATTTATGGAAAGTAAAGGAACACAGAGTTGAAAAAAAATGAAACTTGTAATTGGCCTTGAAACAAGTTTGCCAAAGCCTCTTGGTTTTATCTTCCACCATTTTGTTCTCCTTCTCTAAAGCCTCCACTGATTCCTTCACTTTTCTCTCCGTTTTGCTTTCTGCAACTCCTTTGTTAAACCAAACCCAGAACTAGTCCGGAGGAAACAATACTAGGGATACTTTCAACAATGCAACTAGTTTCGGGTCACTTCAGAATTTGTACCTTAGTAAGAGTTTGGAGGCCATGGATGGATTCCAAGTTCCTTGCATCTTTTCTTCAACAACGTTAAGCTATTGAGTTATCGGCATATAAAAGTAGTCCGAAATGATTTTCTTGGACAGCAATTTGGTATCATTGTTGCATTCTTTTTTCCCTGCATTTTTTAGCTTCCAATTGTTGATCTCCATTGCTAAGTTTTGGCAACTTTTGGCCCAATTTATTGAACAATTATTTTCCATTTCCATTATTCTCTGCACCAAAATAGTAAGATGTTTCAAATTACTAACTCCTTGAAGCTTCATACTAAAGTAAATATATGATATCAAAGTATAAGGATGAGCTTGTGTTAGACTTGAACTTTGTTGATCATCAGTCACTGTCGAATGAAGCATATAGATTCCGTAAAGAAACTATTTTGTTCCAAAAAGCAAATTCACAAGAACAAAACAAAAAGAAAATGGATGTTTGTATGAAACCTTGAATGAAGGTCATGCATTTGCATATTTATTACTTATCAAATACACATATTAATGGTGGATTAATTCACTAAAATAGGTTAATCACAACAGGTTTTCATCTAATATAAAAAGATGAAATCTTATGTAATAGTAAATTGATCATTTAATCAAAACAAAATTAGGTGTTTCTTGTAACCCTTCGTATCATCACTATATGTAGGTACATGTGCCTTGTGTTTTTTCTTGTAGGATCATTCTTCTTCAATTGTGGGGATTCAAATTTGACATGATCAAGTTTTTTGCACTCATAACAAATAATAGGATCATTCTCCTTCTTGGATTCATTTTTGAAGCCCTCCTTTCTTTGGAATCTCCATCCTTTGTTGGACCTCACGTACCTTATGAACCACTTGAATCTTTTGGCAAACATTGTCATATCTTCATCTTCATTTGAGTCACTCTCTTCTTTTGTAAACTTGAGAGTAACACCAATCTTTTTTTTCTTTTCCATTTCCTTCTTTTCCTCATCTTTTTTCTCTTGTTCTTCTTCTTCCTTCACCATCATCTCATGAGTAGGCAAAGATCCAATGAGCTCATTTAGAGAAAGGGTCTTTAGATTCTTAGCTTCAATTACGACGGTCTTCTTGGATTGCCATGACTTGGGAAGATTATAGATCATCTTCCTAACAAACTTCTTATTAGGAATAACTTCTCCAAAGCCTTTGAGATTGTTGATGATAACCGAAAATCGATCGGTCATGGCTTTAATATCCTCATCTAGTCTCATCTTGAAGTTTTCATAATTATGATTGAAAAGACTAATCTTAGTTTCTCTTACTCATTAGTTCCTTAATGAGTAACTTCAAGTTTATCCCAAATCTCCTTGGCATTGGAACAAGATTATACTCTTCTACATTCGTAGAGGCCAAGTGCACAAAATGGAATGTACATTGCCTATGCATTGGGCTAAAACAATTTCTTTTCTCCTTCACTCCACTCCTCCATTTCTCTAGTTGGAGTAGAATGTCCTCTCATCATGATGCTCAAAGCTCCCAAATCACTTGCTTGAATGAAAAGCTTCATCATATTCTTCTGATAGGCATATTTGGCTCCATTGAAGTAAGGAGGCTTGTTAATAGGTTGTGAATCACTGATAATATTGAAACTTTGTGTAGAGGCCATGGATAACTAGAATGATGACTTGAATCTTCTAAGATCTTCTTAAGAGGTGATAAAACCTTTCAATGAGTCTAGCTCTAATATCAATTGTTGAATCAATCGATTAATAGAAGTGATCAAGAGGAGGGGTAAATTGGCAATAAAGAATTGTTGGAAGCTTAAGCAAGAAATAAGAAATTGACACAAGAGATTTAGAGTGGTTCATTTTCTTAATGAAGTCCACATCCACTACCTTAGTTTCTCAACTAAGGATTTGAATAAATTCACTAATTTACTCTAACCTTTTAGGATAAGTTGTAACCTTACACAACATTAAGACTTATACCTCAAAGTCTTGACTGTTCAACTCTTCCCAAGAAGTAATTATAAATTAGCAAACTTTTGAATATCCTCACTAAGATAGATTATTTTCAAAATGAAGCTCTCTCACACACCCAAAAACACTACAATAAAATTACAATGAATGAAATAGTGTTCAATGAAATAAAGACAAAAAATGAATATGAATTTTAGTTATGTTTACTCTTTGATTGTTTGAATAGTTTTCTTGTCATGACTTGGTTGTTTGAAGACCCTTTTTATATGCTTTCATTGATTTCTAGTTGTTTGTGGTCGTTGGAGGGAGATTAGAGTAATTTGAAGCATTAAATTTGCAAATTCAATGCAAATTTGCACATAGGGTTTCAAAACCCTCATTAAAAAATTTAACCATTGAATAGAGGGTTTCAAAACCAATGAGGGGTTTTGAATCCTTAAGACCAATTTTAGCTATTTCCTTAAGGGTTTCAAAACCACCTAAGAAGTTTCGAAACCATGCTAAAAAACTTTTAAAAAAATACCTTGTTACATATTGCAAAATTATTTTAAGAATTTATAAATTTCAAAAATATTTTTAAACTTATTTTTATAATTTGATCCTTACAAATAATTTTTACAAATTTGAAAATTCTTGAATCGAATAAAATATCAATTTTACAAAACTTTCGATTTAATCCTTTGTTATATCAAAATCATTTAATACATTTATCAATATATTCTTAAAGGAGGATTTTTGGTAGGTTGATGGGAAGCCTGATGCTAGTCGGTGCTTTAAGAAGCTACTAGGCTTAAAGGGGAAACTCTCCCTCTTTTTGAATCTGCTAGTAACCCTGGTAAGATCAAAGCTCAATGGATTTAGTATGAGATTCGAATTAAGTACCTAAAGTTTTAGAAATATGGTGGTTTGGTTTCCTTTTCACATTTCCAAACATACCATTATAGATTGGATGACTATTCTGGGAAGCTTCCCACAAAGGACGTGTTAAGAATGGGGTTCAGTGTAAACTTGCATACTATATAAAAGTGTTGATGAGAGTAAAAGTCATTTATTTCTTGAGTGTTCTTTCTCTGAGAATGAAGCTGGGTGTAGACTTGTATACTATGTCAAAGTGTTGATGAGGGTAAAAGTCATTTATTTTTAGTGTTCTCTCTCTCTGGGAATTAATGTTTAAGAGTTATTATGTGATTGTGTGGGTTGAATCAGAGAGTAATGTGTTAGGAGGGGGAATTGGATTGAGTGGTTGCATATTTTAAAGGTAAATCTTTGCTTGTGCAGATTCTAAAGTTGATCTGAAGCACAATTATCTACTGCAATCCTAGAATCAAGAATAGGAGAAAGGGGTTATATTGGATATAATGGAGGAGGTGAATCAGACAGCAAAAATTGACCTAATAGGTTAGACGGATAAAATCATTTGCCCATTAAGCCATCTCCAACATTAATTTGATATCGGTAAATACTATTATGTAGATAAAACTCGTCACGCTCACCTCACAAATTTGCTCAACTAATATTTTTTATTTAAAATTGTCACGTCTACATAACAAATTTAAAAAAAAATATATATCTTTTTATTAAAATTTATCATGCCGGAATACAAGTTCTAATAATTTTTTTATTAAAACTCGTCATTCCCACGTGATGAATTCCAAATCACTGTAACACATGTAATAAATCCTAAATTAATTTTGAAATGATTTAATGGGCCAATATTTTCACTAGCCTGTTGGGCCAAATTTGCCTATTCAAATTAGGCTGGGAGGGAAAAGTATTAACACGGGTGTTCCACTGCAGGTTAGAGTTGATTTGGTTGTAAATGTAATGGTACCCCGCAGCTGTTTACTGTTTTTTTCCTTTGGGTAATATACAAAGCTTATCCAAACAAAATTTAAGAATTGGTTGAAAAGAGACCAAAAAACAAAATAAACCTTATTCACTATCTTAATCTTCTAAATATTCGAAGATTTTAACGAAACTTACAAACATGACCAAATATTTGTACAAATAATGCCAAACTGACAAGTGATGTAAACAAAATCATGACTTCATTTTACTAATTCAAATGATTTCCAACAAAAATCATGAATATGTCATCTGTTCAACTAGATAATAAAGCAAGAAGCTACCGTTCAAACAAAACCTGATTCAATTAGAATGGTCTATGGAAGTATGAATCCAAGAATAGCTAATGCTAAAAGAATACCATGTTAAATTCAATTTTATTCTATGAACCTGTTTGATGGGATATCCTAGTTAATCACCAACGGCTAGTATCAAAGCATACATGTAGGCATTATGATGATGATGTTGAGACCATAAACTCAACAAACAATTCATATATGCAGGAAAACCAAGAAAATATCTCATCATGCATTCCAACAATTTTAGGACTGAGGAACCAAGGAGCAGCTTCCTTTCAGGGCATATAGGGCTAAGAAAATAAGATAGCACAGCCAGTGTTAAACCAAACCTCAAATTGAAGAGTTTGACTCTAGCAACCGAATAGGATTTGAAAAGCACGATCTGAGCCAAAAGAACTATATATCAACCACTTTTCCCAACTTGGCCAAAAAGATCAAGTCCCTAGAGCCTGGTAGAAAAACTGGGCAAAAATGGGAACCTTAACCCCAAACAGAGGTATAGACACAAGGGAACAAATAGCAGCAGTTGCTGATGTGTTTTAGAGAGACATGGAACTCTTTCATCAGCGCGCATAGGGTGTGCTAACATTCAACTGCTATGCAGATGCCTTGTTGCGCCCAAAAACAATCCCAATTTTAAAGTTTATAAAACCATGTCCAATTAGCAACAAAGTAACCCAATAAAGTATCCATAAAAATCAAAAACGGCCCAAGCATCCTGCCAAAAGGTGAACAGCATTAATACTACACAAACCATTACGTAAAAAAAAAACTAGCACAGATCTAAACAATTCACCAGGATAATAAATTACCAGCTTGACTCCTGTTTATTTACTAAGATACCGAAAACAGGGCAGCCAAATTGGGCATTACTTCTAACTAAATATTCTACTCCTCAAGTGTGAAAAAGCAAAAAAACCCAAATGGTGTACCCCTCCCCATCATTCCTTCCAAATACCCATGCAATGACCAGGCCATCTTTCATAATCGGGCAATGAAAAAGTCAACGAGAAGTTGGACAGAAGTAACGGCAAGTGCTGTTGATAATGCATCAGTCACAGAAAATGGAGCATTCAGAGAGCACAAGACCATATTTGAAAGTGCATGTCAAGAAAGCATAAAAACTCCATCGAACCAAAACATCGAACACAGCACTTTAGGAACACATAAATAGTTGTAGATTTGTGCCAAGGTTCACACTTCAAAGGACTGAACTATTATAATGTTCCACCCAGACAACAATGAAGATAGCACATCCTGTAAGAAAGAAACTTCATGCTTTGCCATAAAAGCAGCAACCTGGTTCATCAGCTGCAATAAAAATAAAGCTTCCATCAGTCCAATGAAAAAAACAAATTTCATTCTACAAGGGGAGAAGGAAAAAAGCAAGCAAAAAAGAAGAACGAAAGTAAATATGCATACCACAAGCAGCTTAACCAGAACGAGGAGCTCCAGTTCCACGACGATCATATGGTCCAGAACGATCACGACCGTACCTATCACTTCCAGACCCCCCACGACTGCCTGCATCCCTGCTGCGCCCACCAAATCGATCTCCATTCCGATCAGGACCATAACGACTACCACCACCATAACGATCATCCCTACCACCATACTTGCCACCCCTAGCCCCATCACTCGGACACTCCCTAGCAAAATGCCCTGGCTTCCCGCACTTAAAACACTCCCCACCATTAGATCCACGCCCACCATCATAACCCCGGCTACGGTCATGGTCACGATCACGTCCACGATCACGGTTATGGTTACGGTCACCATCATAATCTCTTCCTGACCCTTGCTGAGGCTTAGCTCTATCAACAGTTATATTCCTCCCATCCAAATCCATTCCATTCATTTCTTCAATAGCTTCTTCCATGGCCGCTTTCTCATCAAAAGAGACAAATCCAAATCCACGAGAACGGCCAGAAATCTTGTCAACAGCGACCTGAACCAATTAAAAGTTTTCAGACAAATTGTGGTGAGCAGGAAAAAATTGTAAACACTAAAGCCATCATGTATTCAGAAGAACAAAAAAGTTCCATAACAGTTTATCAATTATAATGCTTTAAATAAATAATTCTATTGTGATTCCTAGTTTTGTTCGATTAAATATAGTCCTTTCGGGCTTTTCATTTCCTTCTCTCCAAATTGAAGCATAAACTGACATCCACAGGTACAAAGAATAGTTTTCAAAATAGAGATGGGCAACACATTCGGAAGAAGGTGGGCAGCATAGAAGTTAACCAGAGACACCCAAAAGCAAATAAATTAAATAAAACTATTACCATATGTAAAAGTTACAAGAAAGAAAATATGTTTTGACAACGATTCAATTTGATGATGGTAATCGGTGTACAAGTTTGAAAAAAAAAATAACATAAAAGGTGTCATGAAGAGAGAGTTTTATGATTCAATACCTTAGCCTCAATAAGATTTCCAAACTTCTCAAAAGCATCCTTTAGGACCCTATCTGATGTTGACCATGACAGGTTACCAATAAAACAACGGTATTCTACGTCTTCTGTCATACTTTAAGCTGCATTTTTCAGAAAAGGAATATTGATACAAAATTATCTACTAGCATAAGCGTGTCTAGTTTTTGAAATTGACATACCATCACCACATCAATATCCAGAAATGTACGCCACATGCTAAATATATGTAAATGATCAAGCAAGAGGATTTCAAAGCACGAACAAAAAATAATAGAAGCAAATTATGACTGATAAAACTTCTACTACCACAAGGGATCAATTTACTTGCATACCCAGTATCTTTTATTTGCAAATATCAGAACCCAAAAGATGGAAACACATTACACAATTATAAATACCACACCACACAATCAAAAGAAATCACTCGTGAGAATTAGAAACGATTGAAGGTACCAAACATTTGGTAACAAAAAAAATTAAATGACCGGCTACTGCATATAAAAAAACCACTTCATTGCATTCACCAAAACATGTTTAATATAGAAAACGCAGAACAGATAATTACACAGCAGCAAAAAATTCCCTTTTATTTATCATCAATACTGACATCCTGTTTCTTGGTATTATCTCGATCAAACCCTAAATTACATATGAGTATTTCTGTATAGATTGAAAGAAAAGTTTGAGAAGCCCACTCGTGATTATCCGCAAAACCCTAAAAATAGCCCTCTACAATCGAATATAATTCAAGAATTCACTTAAAAAACAGATAATTAAAACACTCATAATCCACTAACAGAATGAAAAACAACAACAGATATAAACGGAAAGCGTTATAGAGCAATTCGATAATGATTCAGACCCGAAGCCAAAAAGCAATTAAATACACCCTAATCGAAAACGAACACACAATTACGAGATCGCTGAGAAGATAAAGGTTTAATGTAAAGAAAAGACAGAAAAAAGAGACGAAGGGCGTACCGAACAAGCAGAAAAGCGAAAGAGAAATAAAGCTCGAAGGAACCCTAAAAAATAAACAATGGGGTGAGAAACAAATAAAGCGAAGCGATAGAGTCTGAATAGTGGAAGCGAAAGCGGTACGCGGTGTCTTTAACGGTTTAACCATAAAACTAGGTTTTGTTTTCCTAAATACTTGTTATTAAATTACTTATTTGATACTTAAATTTGATAATATTTCTAATTCAATATTTTTATCTAGCGTGATAATAAGCTTAGTAAACGTTAGACATATTTCTAAAATTAATTTTAATGACTTAAATATTATTTTTATTGATAATTTTGTCGTTAAAAACAATTATTATAATAAATTAATAATGTAAGTGATTAAAATATGCACCAATTAAATTATTTCAATAATTAAATAGATGATTGTTATCCTTAAAGGTTTTGAGTTCGAGCATAAATAATATTAGGGAATTTGAGTGTTCATTATCAAATAATTGAGGAGTTAGCATTGATTGAAAAATAGTATATAAAATAGATAAGTAAAAAAACGATCAACTGTGTCATGATATTAACCACTTACTTAGAATCGATTTATCGTAATATGTGTAATCGTTATAATAGATAAATAGCATTATATAAATAAATAAATATTCACCCTTTTAATCCTCAATTTCTCTTGGGTTTCTAAAACTATTGTTTTGGGTTGATTCCTTTGGGCTCACCAATAAATTCACTCACTAATAGTTAACCTAATTCTTTTTTAGTCATTTCTATGATTTCCTTGGTCAACATCACATATTAACTCAAGTGATTCTTAACCATTATAATCATAATTATCTTGATATCTTTACAAATTTCTCAAAAGAAATTATTAAAGTGATAATAATAACTAATAAATATTTTCACATTAAATTTAAGGAATTGAATAATTTTATTTCACATATGAAAAAATAGTTACACTCTGTCATCTTTTGTATTCTTACTGAAGCTGGTTCATAACAATCTGCCGATGCAGAATGTGATTGATACTGCATCTTTTATTGAAGTTGTATTTTTCTTCATCTTCTGTGTCTTCGTCTTCTTCTTCTTCTTCCTCATCGTTATGGTGGTTATTTCGAGTTTTATGTCCATCTTCGGGATAAAAGTGTTTCTCTCTGGTTGGAATAATGGTCGACCTAAGATAAAAGTTTTTCTCCATTCGAGACTGTGGGGAACGGGGGTGGCCGTTTATGACGGTGATGATGTGCAGTGGAGTGGGCAGGGACAAAGGATTGGGTTTTTTTAAATAATTTTTTAATAAAATTAGGCTTTTTTTTATTTTTTTCCTTTTATAAATAATATTTTTATTATTAAAAAAATAAAAATATAACAATAGACACCTAAAAATATAACAAAAAAAACGTTAAAGATATATTTTTAATAAAAAATTATAAGCATCAAATCGTATTTGAAGTATAGTTAATACACTTATTCCTATATTAAATCTTAAAAAAACTTAAAATATGATATTAATAAAATAAAAGCCAACACCTATAATTCATTAAGGTAATATAAAAATTTTATTATTTATTATTCTAAACATTATCCAACGTTTCTTTAAAAGATTCATACAGTTTTCTAATCTCTTATTCTTTGGTAACAAAGAAAGTAAAGATTTTAGCTGTAATTCGGGGTTATTCTCCAAGCCCGCTTTGTCATCTTGAAGAAGCAATTGGATAGTACCAGGCGGGTTTTGCCATTCTGAGAGCCCTACGTGCATCATGTAGCCATAACGGTGCATCATTCTGAGAGCATCGAAAACACCGTTAACTTCCATAGGAATGAGAACAAGCTCGACTGTCCATCTTTGCTACAACATCTCTCATATTCTCTAGATTAGAGTCAGTTCATAACATTGACTAGGGGTGGTAATCAGTCTGATAGCTTTAACGTTATCCATGTCCACCATGATGCGTCTAGCTTCATGCTTCAAGACTAGATGGAGTCTGTTCAAAAGTCCCCAAAGCTCAACGTGGAGCACTGAGCAACGTCCAATATGTCAATTATATCCCACGATCCAGTCACTGTCATGGTTTCGAATGATGAGGAAGAATACACGTAAGAAAGGGCATTCCAAAATCGATTCGTTTGGTGGTTACATTAGCTGGCTATTAAAGGCAATAGAAGATAGAAGGAAAGCATGAAAAATATTGTTGAAATCTGTTATCCTCTTTCCTCTCTAATTCTCTCTCGTCTTCTCTGTATTTCTTCTATCCTATCTCCCTTCTATCTTCTTAGTTACTGTAATTCTCTTGTGCTTCAGTGAAAATACAGCTTTAGCATCTTCAATTCATATCAGTGTGTTCTTGAGTTCACAACATTGGTGCTTTAGTTGAGAGATTGAGCTATGATGAATGAAACAGAGGCCATTAAAAGTCTGCAGGAGACTGTCGCTCGCCACGAACAACTATTGGGTTCTCTTGAAGCTCATGCTGAGGAGCAGAAGCAAGTAAACGAAAAGACCCATCAAATGCTTCAGGATGTAATGCGTCAAATAACTGCAATCTCAATGCAGTTGGGGCTGACGTTCAATGAACACCCTGAAATCGATGGATCGGAGAAAGTTAAGGCTAAGCAAAATGACTTAAGCATAAATGCTCACTACATGTTCGACGATTTGCCAACACCAAAGAAATATGGCGTTGAAGACCAAACAAATCGAAGCAGTAAGAAAATTGATTTTCCAAGTGAAATAACGGGAATCATAGGTTCATCTAAACCTGTGGAAACAACAGAAATTCCGATTGAAGATCAGAATATTAAATTACAAGAGCAGTTACCAAATGAGATGGGGAACCTACATGTAAGGAGCATCCAAAATCATGTCAATGGCAGTAAGTGTGGAAACCATCACTTTGAATTAAGTTTTCATATCGTTAAGTATCTAAGATTAAATTCTTGGATGTTGTGTGCATCGTATGTTGCTGACAATGGATATAAATTACAGCTTATGGGAGTTGCATATAAGAGATTATCTGTTAGGAATTTCATGTTTCTAATTGTTCATATTTGGGAAAAGTTTAGAGGGATTCATTCATGGGTGTTTCCACATATGAAGGTGCTGGTTGAGTTTAATGATCCTTCCAAGTTTAGGCTTCTGCTAATGGAAAAGTATATGCCTCAAATCATTAGAATTTTTGAAGTCATTGCCGTCATTTTCATTTCTCAGTGGTTCTTCTTTTGGAAGCTTCATATTGATGTTTATGGAGATGGTGATCAAATCCTTAGCGCTATAATTAATTTTGTTAAAGCTGATGGACTTGTTAAACTTGCAAAACTTGTCGAGACAGTTGTTGAAGATCCTCAATATATCAACTATTTGTTAGCTTGGAATGAAGTGAATGCTCAAAGTGATACGTGTATTGATAAACATTTACCGGCAATTGTTTTTCGAAGAAGTGGGGGGCAAGCTTTATCAGGATATTGTTATTGTGCTAACCTACCAAAGGACTTCGACAACTTCGGATGGATTAAGTATTTGATTGAAATGCAAAACAGGTTAGCACCGAGCAAAGATGGTATTAATCATGATGCAAGTGTAACAAGCGATTTGGTTTTTGACAAATTACAACCAAACCGGCAGCTACCACTTTTCTTTCAGAGCAATCCGCAGTTATGTCAAATGTACTTTGGGTCATTCGGTGGTCTTGAATGGATTGAAAGTGTTGCATATAAACTGGATGTGCGCACAACTTCAAGAATTTCCCATGTTGTTCGTATGTTTTCTCTTAAGAAACGTGTGCGATCTATGGGTATGCAAATCATACCACTATTGATGTCAGAAACAATTGATGATAAATACAAACTGTTTCATTTTCTAGCACCATGGGAATTAATGATAAATGAAGTTCTGGAGCCTGAAGTGTTAGTTCAATGGGAGGATCTATGTAATGAGACAACTAATTGGATGACTATGGAGGAGTTTCGGAAAGCAAATTTTACTTGGGACCTTGTGGACAAGGTCCTATTCAGAGATGGGAGTAATGTTATGCATCAGAATTGGAGAAATCATGAGAATATTGATCCAAATTTTGGAGGAGATAGATTGTTGATACAACGAGATACATTGTGGCTAGGATTAGAGTCAAATTTAACTCGAGAA